CAAACTGCTAAACCACTACCTGTAATACACCTCCTACGTCAGCCAATGCAAAGTAGTCGGTACTGCAGGCAGCCATTTACTACCTGCAGCGTCAACTATTAGATCCACTGCGAGGTACCTCGGGAGGGGTGGTACTCGGCCTCAGCGCCACTTCCTCCTACCAGCAGCTTTAGCTGCGGACACCGAGCAAATCGGCTTGAAAGTGAATTTAGAGAAAGAAGGATTTGGTCAAATTTCTTGTGCATCCAGGCTTGCATTGGGAAGGGCTTTCGCAGACTCCCACACAGACAGCTTCCATCCCAATTGATTCCTGACAGGTGTAGCCTCCTTCATTTGATGGTGGACGTAGTTTCCACTAAATCAGCTCTATTAAAATCAGACTATATCTTGCTACCTCCTACTTTGGCACACGTGTGCCATAAACAGCGGTAACCGTAACAGAATTAGTTACAAAACAGGGTTCTTTTCTATCGACACTAATTTAGTGTCGATACACATCTAGTAGTGCCAAAGAAGGTTTAGGACAAGGGATGGATGCATGCACTAGATTTTGTAGCATTATATTAACCAATAGGCCTAAGATTATTTGGGTTAATGGAACATAACTTTGTTGGTACCGTGGGCTGCGGTACATAATTAAGTTGACTATCTGTTTAACTGATGGTACCTTTGGTGTTTATTTTTTTTCATATACTCGTTGGATGACATTCACGTCAAGCCAAGGCCCACCTAGTGCCCATGTAGCGTCCACTGACCTCCCATTCGGTAGAGAGTTCAGGCTCTGGTTTGGCCCAAAGGTCAATTCAGGTAGACAAGATCAAGATGAGCACCATAGTGTCTCCGCGTCCTCGGCGCGCCCTTCGGCAAGCAGCATATTCGGCACCGCATGGAGGGATCCATGATTCAGCTTCAACTGGAATCAAAATTACTATTTGTCTAAATGAAGACAATCAAAACATATTCCTTCGTTTATGTGACTACCTGGAGTTCGACAGTTTCTATAGGATTTGTCTGGACCTTGTACTCTTGGGCTGGACTTCGAATCATGCTCAGGCATAACCGCTTTGTTCTCTTTGCAACACATGTATCCAGCCTCATTTACTACCTTCTTCCATCCGGTGGAAAGTCTTGAGATGCTGCACTGGTGGAAGCGGAAAGTGGACCAGACATTTTTTTTAACGACTTCTACCCTAGCAGATTCCGTTTGTTGCACGTATCTAACGTGTGGAAAAGGTGCATCTACCTTGGTGACGGATAATCTCTAAACCCCTCACAACTAAAGAGTTAACAAAGATGACTGTATTTGGCTTCACCTTATCTCTGGGTTCCACAGACAAGCTATTAAAAACTAAAGCGACGCCACCGTTAACCATCTAGCGAAGTATTGTGCCACAATTCCTTTCACGAGATCCGTGTAAATGTGTTGCAAGTGACACTAGGGATTTCCTAATATGCAAGACAGTGGCTCATCCCGTTGTCTTCATAACATATCTGTTTTAGACCAAAGTTCCACCGTCTAGTCCTAAAAGCAATGATAGTCAACAGAGGTATACGGTCCAGAATCTGATTATCTAACCGAATGTAACTTTAGATCCAAATGAAGCTGCCGAGGAGAACAGGTACGGTTCCTCAGTCTCATGCTGTCTGTTAACTAGAACGGTTACCTCGAGGGTGCTTTCTTGAAGTACCGAAAAAAATTTCGATGGCTGATGAGGGATGTATACCGAGTGGAGTGCCGAGGACGTCGCTCAAA